TTTTGCCTTATTAATTTTGCTTTGCCTAGTTTTGACCTACATATATATTATTGCTCAGTGTTATTTTGGCCCAGTGTAGTCAAGGGGAAAGACGTCTGGGGTTACGACGCCTGTAGGGGCACCAGTGGTGGGAAGGTCGACAAGGAGAGACCAAACTGAATGCTACCAACCACACGCCAATGGCACGATCGCAATGGCCAAACCGGCGGAAGAGGGCAGCGCCAGTCGAACTGGCGTAACCAAGTCGGACCATGACAGACCAAGCATCCGACAGCTCGATGCAACCAGGTTTGTCAGATCTCTCGCCTGTCTCAATCCGCTTTGAGCCGCGAGGGAGACGATTCTGGTCAAGTGTGTGGGCTTTACCGCCGCGCAGATTTTTTTCTCACAATTCGATTCATCATTTACATTATTCGGACTATTGTCCTCATCTTTGTCGCCATATTTATTACAACTTAAGGACACATGGCACAGTGGATAAAGACATTGGTTAGATCCAGTGGCAGGACCCAAAGCGTGTGAGTTCAATACCCGGTTAAGGCAGTGGAGAACTTTCAGAGGGAAAGTAACAGGAGATATCTGATAACTGACATCCATCAAACATGGCACGTGGAACTAGAACAGTGAGCGAAATAAAGGGTTCAGTTCGACATTCCAACCACCTGAAAAAGGCCGGAGTCTACAACAGCTAAAACGTTGTAATAAATATGGCGCCAAAGATGAGGAAAATAGTCTGAATAGTGTAAATAATGTACATAATACCTCATCTCAAAAATATAGAACAGAATTCAATTCAGGGTTTTCTAGTGGCCATCGCTGTCGAACGAGTGATAGTATGTCTCCTCAAAACCCCACTAAAATCAAGTTCGCACGAGTGTCCTCCCTTTGACCACTCTTCAGGAGCAGGCTGGGCCTTCACAAGCATCTCCGCCACTGTCACCAGAGAGGAAAAAAGAATATACGGAGAGAGGACGACGATCCCGATGATCGGATGCGAGCGGGTGCTGACTACCAACTACCTCATCTAGAAATATTTTCATGGCAAATGCTTAAATGAGCTTGCTTCTTTGGTGCCACGACATCAACAATGCTAGATTGGCAAGCGTCATTTTACCGTTGAAATAGTTGAATGCAACCATAATCTCCCTTATATTGACGGCTCTCCACAGCTTTCTTTCTTCTGTGGATTTCAGAAATACCCTCGTTATTGTGGTACTTCCTCCATCCATTTACATAAACATGTCCATTTAGAACACAGGTAGTCATAGTTCTCCAGATCTTTCTTTATTTTGCGACCTTCAGCAATGCTTACTTTTTTATGGCCCCTAAAATACAGAGGTATCAAGACCTAGCAGAGAAAATCGAAATCTACCAAGCAACAGCTGAAGTTATCTCTGCTGTGATTGGTGCTCTCGGAACTATCTCCAAGAATTTCTCTCCTCTACAAGACATCTTGGGAGTACCTGTAATAACGGTATATTGACTACTTTGTTTTTACGACTTTTCACACGTTATTTACATACAGAAAAAATATTTTTAAATTGTAAGAAGTTTTTGGTGATAATGATGATTTACTGGTACCAGTTTTACTAATTAACACATAGAACAATTGGATTAATACCATTCGCGTAACTGAATATAATGAACCCGACTGGAATTGGAACTCGTCATGATACCTTTACAAAAAGATGTTCTCTTAACATATCTCCATCTGATAATAGTTTGTTATTATCTGTTTTGTAATACAGTGTAACCCGGATATAAGAGACCTGGATATAAGAGAAACCCGGATATAAGAGAGATTTTCTCTGGTCCCAAATTATGTTAATATATATAAAATAGACCAAACCCGGATATAAGAGAAACCCGGATATAAGAGAGATCCCAAATTAGAGCCTGTGTTAATATATATAAAATAGACCAAACCCGGGTATAAGAGAAACCCGGATATAAGAGAGATTTTCTCTGGTCCCAAATTAGAGCCTGTGTTAATATATATAAAATAGACCAAACCCGAATATAAAGAAACCCGGATATAAGAGATTTTCTCTGGTCCCAAATTAGAGCCTGTGTTATATATATATAAAATAGACCAAACCCGGATATAAGAGAAACCCGGATATAAGAGAGATCCCAAATTAGAGCCTGTGTTAATATATATAAAATAGACCAAACCCGGGTATAAGAGAAACCCGGATATAAGAGAGATTTTCTCTGGTCCCAAATTAGAGCCTGTGTTAATATATATATAAAATAGACAAAACCCGGATATAAGAGAAACCCGGATATAAGAGAAACCCGGATATAAGAGAGATTTTCTCTGGTCCCAAATTAGAGCCTGTGTTAATATATATATAAAATAGACCAAACCCGAATATAAGAGAAACCCGGATATAAGAGAGATTTTCTCTGGTCCCAAATTAGAGCCTGTGTTAATATATATATAAAATAGACCAAACCCGGATATAAGAGAAACCCGGATATAAGAGAGATTTTCTCTGGTCCCAAATTAGAGCCTGTGTTAATATATATATAAAATAGACCAAACCCGGATATAAGAGAAACCCGGATATAAGAGAGATCCCAAATTAGAGCCTGTGTTAATATATATAAAATAGACCAAACCCGGGTATAAGAGAAACCCGGATATAAGAGAGATTTTCTCTGGTCCCAAATTAGAGCCTGTGTTAATATATATATAAAATAGACCAAACCCGGATATAAGAGAAACCCGGATATAAGAGAGATTTTCTCTGGTCCCAAATTAGAGCCTGTGTTAATATATATATAAAATAGACCAAACCCGAATATAAGAGAAACCCGGATATAAGAGAGATTTTCATGTACATGCATCCTTGAAAGCAAATCTCTTTTTCTTTATTACTTAATATGACTTCCATGATGGGGTTAAGATAGAGCCACTGAGAACAATGGCGTCTACTTGACGCTTCCTGGACAACTGAACCAAGAGTAAATAAACAGACAGCAACTTCCTATGATTAGAAATTTAACTTTAAATAGCTTAAAATTAAACAACTACTGGTGTTTAAATTTAAGCTGTTTAAACTCTCTGTTTTTCATTTGTGACATTTTTCCTATTTTTTTTTTTTTCACTTGTGCCATTTTTATTGATGTTGTTTTTACCGTGTCATTAATGAGTGTGCCATTATTACAGGTTAATATCTGCCTCGCTCGATCAGTTACAACTTAGTAGTGAGCTCGATCCACGATACCAAACAAATTTTATTTCGGCACTAAATGACCCACAAGATGTTGATATGTCGTTAAACAGACAAATCAAAACTCGTGCCACAGCTAAGTTACGCTTAGTAAATTATGTATCGAACTCGAGATACATCAAAGCAATTCTGAAGAGTGCAACAATTGTATTTTGAGGAAATCAATCAATATGAAAGCTCCAACTGAAATATAGTCGCAGATAAGAAAGAATTATATTCACTAAAGCTTCGTAGAGAGAGAGAGAGATAGACAATGAGGCATAGAGAATAAAGCTAATAAGAAAAGAATTTTGATTGAAAAAAAAAAATTAAAAAAAAAAAAAATGGGCTGCGATTAACAGTGTGCAAAATAACGCTAATTGCTCAAAGCTCGTATTAAATTATAAGTTCAAAAGAGAAATTGATTCCATCGAGCGATAAACACAAGAAGGAAATTGTTCAAAGTCAATAAAATGGTTTCCTTTAAATCACCACTTTACGACGAGGCGGGTAAGATAAAAATGTATTGCTTCTCAAATATCGAATGCCTGAATAAGATATGGATTAATTGCAAGAATCGAGGATTTATTCTTCACACAAGGGACATTGGATATTCGATGGATTTATTTCTCCCCCTTTCATTATTCAGCACATCTATGATTACCAATTGTTTCTCAAAAAAGAGATTAAAAGAGGTCCTGCATGCAATTTAAATAATTAATATTCGATTTTTCTGTTTGAGTTTCTCAGATGTAATATTGATACATCGTAATGATTCTTACAAAGATGACTTCGCTAATCAGAAAGAATCGTTCGCCGTATTATTTTATAGCTACTTTTACTCTTGTTATTGCTGTTTTCAAATTAAACATTTTCACTACTATTATTTTATGACAAGTTTCGCTCCTCCTTAATACTGCTGCTGTTAAGATGAAGCGTTTTCGTTGTTATTATAATTTGATTACTAATTTTACTTCAACTTTCTGCTGCTTTTTAAACGAGCCATTTTAAAATACTATTGTTTGTTTTATTCCATCTTATCATTGTTGCTTTTTAGATGAAGCAATTTCACAATTGTTATGTTATTACATCTTTTGCTGTAAGCTTTGATGTGCGGGTGGTGTAATGGACAATGGCTCGGAATTGTTAATCGGAGGACCAAGTTCCAGTTCTATCTGGATTCGTTATATTCACTTACGCTCATTTGAGCGTAAGTGAATATAACGAACCCTTGGCATAAGTATAACTCCCCCCTTCTCAGTAAAACAATAACACATTTCTCATAGCATTTTTTCGGATTACATCTCTATTTTCGTTGTCTTGTCCTCTTATTACCGAGAAGTAAAAACAAGAACAAAATCTATTTCCATACCTGAGGATGTCTGTAGGAACAGAGGAAAGCTTGTAAAAAATTAAAAGTACCTTATGCAACTGGAATTTATAAACAGGGATCATATCATTCATATACAGGTTTGGGGTTGGTGTATCTTATTGAAATTGTTTGCGAAGATGTATTCTCTCCATTTAACTCATTAACCTCTCTATTTGTTTTATTGCATGAATGATTCATGAATTTATATATATATATATATATATATATATATATATATATATATATATATATAAGTGAACATTGAAGTCAATACACAGAGGAGACAGGTTGTTTCATTCTAGACACAATCGTCAGGCCGACGATTGCGTCTACTGTAATATAACGAACCCGACTGGAATTGGAACTCGGCTCTTCCGACCGTTATCCATTACACTACACGCACATACAAGCTTACAACACCTGGTTTTCCCAAGCGGTCACCCATCTAGGTATTGACCAGGCCCGACGCTGCTTAACTTCGGTGATGGTACGAGAACTGGTGTTACAATGCTATATGGCTATAAGCCGGCACATAACGGGGAATGAGGGCCTGGAGAATATAACACCTACAGGGAATGCTGAATGCAAGAGAGACAGAGGAAGACAGCGAATAGCCTACCGAACGATCTTTGTTAAATCATTGGCAGAACATGCATTAAGAGAGATAGTAAAAGAACAAAACGTATTAAGAGATACAAAATGAGAATTATTCGTAATTTTCGTTTATTTTGCAGTTTTTGAAAACCGCATAATGGCGAAAATTAATGAACAGCGAATCAGGCACATTTAAAAATAAGATGGAGCTAAACAATTAATGGCGGAAAATGAACATGGCGTATGTCTCGAATTATGCGCTTTGTAAGTCCTTCACATATTTGGCAAAGCCTTTAGCCTTCTAATTATCATGCACAACGCAATTTTGGAAACTCACTATTCCCGTTCAGCTATTGTTAATTAAAGACCCATGTCGGCAGAACAATTGAAAATCTACTAATGACAAAACGCACGTAATTATATAACTTTTTCTGAAATAACGACTTGTAAGAAATTTGTATCAAATAATGATTTCTTTTGCAACTTCTATATTAATGGAAGAAGAAGTTAAAAAATATAAATAAATAAGTTGTGATTTGAATTATGGACCTTACGCTGATGGTCGTTAAATAATCGTTTCTACTACATTGCAATTGGAAAAGACATTTATTTGTTGGGATGTACAAGTGTGTTATACTGGGAAAGGTTTTTGACACAGCATGAATTTTAATAGAGGAAGGTCCTTGAGTTACGATTTGTAGTTGCGACGCAATCTCCATTAGTCTTGTTTCCTGTTTGTACGCCATATTGGACTTTTGTGTATTCGCTCTCTATCGTTTGTGATGCGTTTGTGGGAACTTACTGGCCTTCATTAGGACGGGGTGTAAACGGTTCTGATGGCGGTGCTTCGAAGTAAAAGAAAGCCATCATCATGGAAGTAAAATTACGGGTACTTTTTGACTTACACGGAAAATCGCGTGACGACGCATCGTAGGAACGGAACTCTGTCGTAAGTCGAAAATCCCGCATAATGAAAGTTTATAGAAGGATCAGTGATATTCGTTTTTGATATTTGTATTTGATTTTACAAGTACAAGAATTTCTTATGCCGTGGTTAATAGTTCCGTCTGTACTGAACCGTAAAATGGAGAGAGAATGAGAATTTGAATAAAAGAGACTGTTTTATTTTCACATTCAATAAAGTGCTTACATATTAAAACACAGCAATAAAACCATAGAACACAAATCAGAAAATTTGTTGTATTACTCATCATGATTTATCAGGTCATCGCATAAGTTCTGTCCAAATTTTACCTTTTTGTTAAAATGAACGAAATTTAAAGAGTATTTTATAATGTCTAATGCAGCTGAACATTATTTTTATATTTAAATGCATTTAAACTGATCAAATTTTATTTCAGAGAACAATAAAATAAAATTTTGTTTGATTAAAACCCTGCTAACATGGAAGTACCCAAGAATCATTTGAGACACATAATGCTTTATGAGTTCAAGAAAGGAAACTCAGCAGCCGAAGCGGCTAGAAACATTCACTCAGTTTATGGAGAGGAATGTGTGAATGAAAGAACTTGCAGAAGATGGATTGCAAAATTCAGAGGTGAAGATTTCGCCCTTGAAGATGAAGATTGAACTGAACGTCCAGTTGAGTTTGATGAAAAGCTTCTTGAAGCATGCCTTGAAGAAAATCCAGCTTTATCAGTTGTGGAATTGGCAGTGGTTCTCAGTTCAAACCATACAACTGTTCATCGTCATCTTCAACAACTTGGAAAAGTTCCTAAACTTGGAAAATGGGTGCCTCATGAATTGTCTGAAAACAACCTCAAATCCCGAGTTGACATCTGCTCTTCTCTCCATTCTCGCCAACTCGTATCACCTTTTTTAGATAAACTTGTGACTGGCGACGAAAAATGGATCTTTTATCGAAATGTTAAGCGTCGTAGACAGTGGCTTGGTAAAGGGGAAGGACCCCAGCCACAGCCGAGAAGGGAGTTTCATGGGCAAAAGGTTCTTCTTTCAATCTGGTGGTATCGCCAAGGAATAATCCACTTTGAATTCTTACCACCGAATGCAACGATTAATGCTCAAATATACTGTCAGCAATTAGAGCGTTTGAGCCAAGCTTTGAGGAAAAAAAGACCTTCTCTAGTGAATCTCTGTTTCATCAGGACAAAGCACGGCTCCACACAGCAAGAATCACGTCACAAAAGAACAAAGAACTTGGTTGGGAGAAAATTCCTCATCCACCTTATTCTCCTGATCTTGCTCCTTCAGACTACCATTTCTTTCGTAGTTTACAGAATCATTTGGAAGAAACAGCTTTAGTAACACAGGAAGCGGTTAAAACTGACATTTGTCAGTTCTTCGAATCAAAGCCAAAAGAAGTTTACAGTAATGGAATAAGTAAGCTTGTTAATGGATGGAAGGAAGTCATAGATAATCAGGGAAAATACATTGTTGATTGAATCTGTAATTAAATGTAACATTTGGTCACTTGTATTCTTTATTCAAAATTCGGACAGAACTTATGGGATGACCTGATAGTAAGCTTGTTAATAGATGGAAGGAAGTCATAGATAATCAGGGAAAATACATTGTTGATTGAATCTGTAATTAAATGTAACATTTGGTCACTTGTTTTCTTTATTCAAAATTCGGACAGAACTTATGGGATGACCTGATAGTAAGCTTGTTATTAGATGGAAGGAAGTCATAGATAATCCGGGAAAATACATTGTTGATTGAATCTGTAATTAAATGTAACATTTGGTCACTTGTATTCTTTATTCAAAATTCGGACAGAACTTATGGGATGACCTGATAGTAAGCTTGTTAATAGATGGAAGGAAGTCATAGATAATCAGGGAAAATACATTGTTGATTGAATCTGTAATTAAATGTAACATTTGGTCACTTGTTTTCTTTATTCAAAATTCGGACAGAACTTATGGGATGACCTGATAGATACTGACAAAAAAAAAATCGTGCGGAGGTAGTAGATGACATACGACGTGGATTTTTACGACCAATTAGAAAGAAATAAATAATTTGATTCTGGAGCCGATTTTCTTACGAAAAAGTATATAAAAACGGACGAAGTCCGTCCCCAAACAGGATACGCACCAAGAGCCACGCCACTCTCGCTTATGTTCTTTACGGCCTCGTGCTAAAATCGACAGCGCTGATAAACTTCAGAGACTGCTTCACACTACAGCAACACCGCCAACAGTAAGAAACCATTTCCATCTCTTGTATCCTTCTTACCATGAACCATACACACACGTGTTGACATTTTTCACACAAACATACATATAACAACATTTCATTGATTCGCACATACGTACACAAAGACAATTTATATTAGGTATCTCCATGAGATCGATGAAAAAAATAGTATAGCATGAATAAAAAAAAGTCCGTAAACTTGATGAAAATAATTTTTTATTGCTTAAATGTTCATGTTATTATCAAGTGGAAAGATCAAAGTATTTTCGAATATTTTTTTACATTTTTTAATCATTTTTAGAACGTCCAAAATTTTCATTAAAAATCTTGTTTTCTTTTTTAATCAGAAAAATTGACAGAAAATCGATCATCAGCCATTTTTTTTTCACTTTTGTTTACAAAAGTGAAAGTCTCCGTTTAAAATTCTTCTAAAAATCAATTATAATTTTTTCAAAATTTAATTTTAAAAAATTAAAAATTATAAAGTTTAATATATTTTGAAACAAACATTACTTACTTTCTGCGCTGAAAAAATGCACTTTAAAATGAGAGAAAGCCGGTCTTAACAGCGTTGTTGACATGTGCGTGATTTCGTCTTACGTGAGGAAAAGTTATAGTACGGAAGGTCACAAGTGACAGCTTAGCATTACGTGAACAACTTATTTACCTCGTTATTTTTAATTACTTTTCAAAATTTTCTGCTGCTACTTGGTCGTATATAGGATGACATATAGTTCAATATTTGTTTTTTTAAGTAAAACTTCTCCACACGTGTTTCGGCAATCGTAAATGTAAAAATGTAAGGCTCGTTAACAATGTCGAACAACATCTATATATAAAATCAAGCCACTTGATGTTTTTATTGTGTCATGCTTCTTCTGGGCTTCCATACATTTGCATTATAACCGTTTTTATTGACACAAAGCAATGAACAGTAAGATTTTTCTAACTGGTGGTTCGTGGATTGTAAAAAGCTTGTGCAATGTATAATCTGTACAAACAGATGTACTTAAAAAAAATTAAGTAAAGGATTTGACATTTCCACTAATTTAACAACTTTAGTGTAAAAATAATTTAAGAAATAACAATTAATTCTTTTAAAAATTCATTTTTCATCGAAAAAGTTTTTTGCCTTCAGACAATATTACGCATATTCATAAAAACAAATAAAAGCAACTAAAAGCATTTAAAATTAAATAATATCTTTGTTTTATTGAGTTTTTGTATGTTACAATTCAGAGTTGATTTTTAGGTAGACGAGGTCCGATTTTTAAAAAACAAAAACATGATTTACTTGCCTTAAAGCCTTGTGCTTTTAAACTAATATAATAACTTGCGTGTTTCGACATTGAATTTCTAGAGTTTTCATTACATTATTTATGGGGGGGGTTATATATATATATATATAAATTATATTTTTATCATGACTTTAAAACAAAATAACATATTTATAATAATTTCCATCATTCCTGAAAGTTTCATTAAAATCTGACAATTATTTCTATTTTTGCAAGATTTTCAAAATTAATGTCTGTCATAAAAAATGCACAAAACCTCGCCATGTTATTTACTAGTGGTTCTGGTGATGAAGAGAAACAAGGTTTTTCAATCAAAAGTTAAAATGTTCTAATAAAGACAATTTTTTTTAAATACTTAAAAATTATTTTGTTCTTTCCTCTTAATAGTAACATAAATATTTTGGCGATAAAATTTTGCTTTCGTCAAGTTTAAGGCTGTTTTTA